GCATTTGCGACAAGTTTTGTTCGGCAGGAACTGAACGCGTAGCACTCCTGGTTTTTCGAATTGTTTACCAAAACAAATGCAATTTTTTCTTTTCATTCTTATCGTGAACGATGGTTCTCAATCCAGTGATTCATGGGTGAGATAGAAGCATGATTCTCTGGGGAAGGATTTCTTCAAACGCATCGTGGATACCAACGGTGAAATATGCAGAGTTGAGGCCATTGCTCCGAAGATTGAAGTTACTCAGTTGCATAGGAGACGCAGACAGATACGCGATAGTCGGCACCTCCTGCTACTGAAATTGTTGGTCAGCTCCTCGTGTACGTATTTCTATCCATATATGTCATTGCGACGAGGCCTTATGGGTCTTCTATGTTTAGGTGTAGTTTGAGAAATCTAGGTAATTTGTAGCAAGGTAATTTGTCACCGGGGATTAGTAGAGGTATGGAGTCTCGTTGAAGAGCTTCGAGCACTGCAGTCATGAATGCTAAGTAGGAGGCTAGAAGAAAGGTGGTTCAAGGGGTTACGCGAGCATATGCGAAGGTATTGCGCATCTGCAAACTTCTGCCATATCGTGTGGGTCATCATGCGACAGTGCATAGCAAGGGCAGATTGACCCATTAACGCCCTTCCGATTACCTTACAAGGGGACGTTATCGAACTGGAGCCACCTCTCGGTTGTCTGGTTCACATCGGATTCCCAGTGTAATAGAAATATAAAAATTGACGAAGGAGACGAATAAAAATCGTGCCCAAATCGAAGACCTAATACTGCTTAAAGGCACAACCCAGGCAGAGGTCGTGTGAACTCTTCTCTTCGGTCAGAAGTATAGAACCCTAGGGGACAATCACAAATGTGGCGTTCACGTGCACGGAACCGACCGACAAGAGCGCTTGGGCCTTGCAAAGTAAGCTGCTCAAGCTGCAGTTTCTCTTATCAGGCTGTTGTCTGGCGCTCTCTCATCTGTAGCGCTCTCTCGCCCCATACTCTCCTCTCCGCGCTTAGTCTCTCATTCCTTAGCACAGCCAATTAGGAAGGTGAGTGAGCCCTCAACCTGAGCGTTTTCGACGGATTCTTTTCCTTTTTTCTTCACTGCCGGCCCACTTGGCACCGATACATTCACATTCGTGTGCAAGAGCCACACCAGTGCGATCCTGGGGCATGCCTTAAAGGGAGGATCAATAAGTATATTTCAATGCCTACCCGTTGGCGAAATTCAGGTCGGAGATGCAGACCGAATGAGTGTTAGGTCTTCGCTTTGAGAAGCAGATGGCAGGTGGAATACGAGGACATTAGCTGGCTTCACTTGGTGAAAACCTAGAAGGCTGTATAAGAAAGCAATCAGCAAGTAAAGTTCAGATTAAAATGCAACTATGGAGGATCACTGGTACAACAAGCCTTCATTTTCTTTAGTGGATTCCTTTCTGTGTTTTTCCACTCCCCGGGGCGCTTGCTCGGAGATGTTGGAGCGGATGACTTCAAACGAATTTTTGGTCCAAAGTCATTATTCATCAGAAACATCAACGAAATTGAGCTATCCGACCGTAACAACCCGTACGGTAAAACAACATCGAAAACATATAACATGCCCAGTATTTAGAAGACCGAAGGAATCTCATTTCAGAAATGTGAGCCCAGCGGAACTCGTGAAGATCACCAGAGGAAAGCAAGGTCAAGAAAAACAAACTGCCCCGTACAGGTACTTTACTCATTCAATTAGAGCAGTAGTTGGTACCACCATCGATTTATTGTATTAGCCTCTACGATAAGCTCTGTCGTTTTTCGGCCATAAACTTGAATTGCATGCATCTAGGCTTTACCAAAACACCTGAAATTGAAATGAAAACCATTATAGCTTACGAACTTTGCCAATGGGAAAGAGGTTCAATAAATCCGGTTGCTTAGAGTGCTGGAGTTGAGGGCGATGAAGTCAGCGAACGGCGTCTCAGCATCAATTGGGTTTCAAAGCATTCTCTCTGATGGAGCTGTTCAGGTTTTTGGGTAATCAGCATTTGATAGGCAAGAGGTCTACTGAGTAAGATGGTTGCACCGTCATTCCGTACCCCAGCTGGTTTATATATGTACAGGATGGTTGTACTGTTGCGTTCAAGACACCTGTCAGCGATGTGTCTGCCCTTTATGGGGAGCAAAACAAAACACATGTGTAGGAGTTTTTGGTGTGTTCTGGCGATCTGTTGAAAGTGCTTCCCCGCTGTAACCATCTCCTCCTGGTGTCGGAGGCTAGGCCAGTCGCTGAAAGTCACATAATCTCCAGGTGAAATTCAGTTACGCGAATTTTGTTGAACTTGATCATGGTCGATCCATTGAGCAAAGCTTTGCAGGCCGTTGCGAAGAGATCGCCTCACATCGTGTATCACACTGCACTAGAGAGTACATTCATCACATAAAACAAGCTAGAAATTGAGAGTCGACCCTTCAAATTGGTGATATGTCGCGGCACCCCCTTATCAAATTTTTTCGGACTTTCCAGCTACTTCCGTATAGACTTGGAACCACAAACCATATACGTCCACGTTGGGCAGAACCATTTTTAATGGTCTTGTGCACGAGTGCTTCAATCAGAACTTTTGGCTAATCGTGGCAACGTCCGATATCTGACGACCACCCTTTTCATCTTTAAACCTCTCGATATCATTGCAAGGATTTTTTGAACAACAGCTTACGAGAATGTCTATTGCAAATCTGAGCCAAGTGCAGCTTTATTATATTGACGAGGTTCCGTTCCTCCCAAGAAAGTGATCTAGAAGAAGGTGATCTACTCGTTAGCTTTTCAAAATCGTATTTGTATCACTGGCAGCTTGCTTGGAGTCATCCTTGTGCGCATTTTGTATAATATAGGGATGACCCTACTCAAGTTTGTCCGTCACGAAATTCGGTACTACCTGAAGAACGACATATAGAATGCGGGTCAAGTTTGGGATGGAAACGGCATGGTGAAGAAGTGCATGTCAGCTGGACGAGGCTCCGCCCTCAGTGGAACAAATGATGGGGCGAAAGTTTCGTGCGCAATTGTAGAAGAGGCCCAAGACTCTAAAACAATAGGTAGGTGGTGTGCACTGAGTTTATAAGTCTAGGAAGACCTTCTCCAGGTGGGCGGAGCTTCCCTGAAGCGGTGCTTAACCCAAAAAATTTATGACTTGGTCAGTAGAACCATGAACAAGATAGGATTGGAAGATCAATATATATGGTGTTCGTAGCATACCTGAACTGAGCGGAAGCCTGCCCACGGTAGGTGGAGCGTGTCTTCAAAAGGGCACTATTTATTGCAAATCCTCATAATTCGGTTCAGTTTCTTTTAGAAACAAGGAAAAAAGTGGATAGAGGTGAGAGAAGGAAAGAAGGGTAAATGTTGATGAAGGGCGTTTTGTGCGCCGATGTGGGCATAGTTTCTGCCGAATTTATAAGCTCGGTTTCAAGAAGTCTCGAAGACCGGAGAAAAGTGGATAGAGTCTGGCAGTGGAAGAGAGGTAAGCAGCTGTTGGTGGATGGGGATGCACCAGAATGGGCGGCAGTTATCCACGAAACTTTATAACTCGCTCCTTGAAACTGGGAAAAAAGTGGGTAGGATCTGACAACGGGAGGTGAGTTGCTATTGGTGGGTGGTACCGAGATGCGCGGAGTTTGTGGTGAAGCTCTGTAAAAAAGTTCGATTGCCCTCTTTTATACCATTGCAGTCCCGTTTGATGCACGCAAATACGTGCGTAACCAAACTGTGGAGCGTTCAAGAGTGAAGTGTCAGAAACGGCAGAACTTTTTGTAAGACCTGATTCCTTTCACGATTCCACAAATAATTCTCAATTAAGCTATTTTCAGAGCGATCGTCACAGATTCGTGCATTATTGGTGTCTGGTTATCAACAATCGGCGGTAGCCTTGGCTTCCAGATTTTCTTACTGTATGGGCCAACGTATATCAATAAGGTTTGCTAATAACTTTTTGAGCGTGAAGTTGCTTACCATTGAGTGGCGGCATCAAGTTGTGGGATAGTAGTAGAATAGGAGATTAGGATAGTAGTAGATTAGGATAGTGCGCTGACAAGATTAGATATGTATTGATCTATTCGCTTGAAGTCGCCCAATCTACTACTCTCCAGCGATTTCAATCGATACGTATCCAATCTTGTCAGCGCAATCTCCTACTCTACTACTATCCTAATATCCTGTCGCCTACTATCCTAATCTCCCGAGTCGCGAACTATGAACGCGGCCTAAAAGCGAGCTGAGCTGGTATATTTATCACAACTCTGTAAACACTCAGCATTTTTCTTGAATCCTGACAATTTAGCGGTGAATAAGGTTTTGCTGTTAGTCTCAAAATGAAAATGAAATATGCTCCTTATAATAAGTGAGCATCTAATGCTTATCTTTGCTTTACATTCACACTCTTCAAAAACCCTAAAGTTAAGCGGTTTGATGCGTGGCCTCCTTGTTATTAATTAGGAGTAAAATGTATCATTCTTCAAAGAGCTGCTCAAGTAACTGGTTATACTGATACAATATCTCCGTCCCTTTCCCTTAACACTTGTAAGTGCGAACACTCTAGAATAAACGTGGGCTGCGCAACGGAATGGCGACTTTTGCGTTCAAAAGCGCCCTGACAGCCTTTATAATTTGCGATCATCCTCCCTTACCGACAAACAATTTCCCTTTTCTATCCTGCGTGTCACTTGTAGTCAAAACTCCACGGTGTCAACGGGGGTTACGTGAATTAGGGAAAGAACTTGTAAGTAGAGTGTAGAGTTAATGTAGGGAATGACGACTTTTGCATTTGAAAACGCCCTGACAGCCTTTATCAGTTGTTATCACCCTCTTTCACCCACCAACAATGTCCCCGTCCCACCCCACATAACACCTGTAAGTATGGACGCTCTGGTGTCAACGCGAGCCAGGTAACGGAATCGACGACTTTTGCGTTCTGACGCGCCTTATCAGCCCTTATCAGTTGCAATCACTTTCAATCATGTACCAACAATGTCCCGGGACCACCCCACATAACACTTGTAAGTATGGACGCTCTAGTACCAATATGAACGACAAAACGAAATTGGCGATGCTCGCTTTCTAGCCCCTCTTATCAGCTATTATCAGTCGTTATCAGTTCCTATCACGTACCACTTGTGTCCCCATCCCACCCCCTATAACATATGTAAGAACCACTGGCGCTATCATTGCTGTGACTCGAGCTATGAATTTCCGGTCAAACACACACACCAACAGACACACTTAGCTGATTATAGATAGTGGGAAATTTTGTTAAGTTGGAAACAAATGTCGCTCACTTTTGTGCCATTGCCATGCTAATGTCTCACAATGCGTGGGTACTTTTTTGAAAGGCTGTTTTCCACATCAGGATATATCTAAAGTCTCGAAGTTATGACTTCCTTTCCCAAAAATTTTGTTTGAACACGTTGAGTCCGGAACGCCGTCCTCTTGCGTGCATATGGCACGCCCTCACAAGGAACAGCGGTTACTTATTCTTATCATATGATGTACAAAACATTCAAGCAGCAACGCTCAGTCTCTGAGGCAGTTACAGCTATGGTTTCGTCGCTTCCAAGACTGAGATAAATGTCATGAGGACAAGGAGCGCACATGCGGACCTGAGCTGTTGATAACAAAAACCAAAGAAAACCGTTGAATCGGACCATTAAACTGTATAAACACCTTCATGAAGGTTTGACACTGAAGATTGAAAGCTTCTAAGTTTGATGGATTATTAACGCCGATCGGCACGGAAAATTCATCTCGGCATCTCCTTAGTGTGGCGAACAAACAGCGCACGTTGTCAGCGGTGTAACTCTGTCTCACACCTCCAGGAAAAACAGAGTTTTTGTCTTGGTTGTGAGGTCATCTGAGAAAGGAATGTCCCACGATAACACAGTGAGAAGACGAGCGTGGTTGGACAGACAGCTGAGACCGACTTCGAAATCGGATATCCACGGAACAGAAGGTCGTGTTATTGTATTGCAGGACAGTGCGGAACTGGTGTCTTGAAGTGTTGGTTGTGGGTCAGGCAGTTACTGTGAAACTGTGCGCACAGCAAGGTGCCTGCATGGACTAAGAACGCGTCAACGAGGGATCATTCTGTCCGATATGAAATTGACGCTCAAAAGCGCAAGACCCCTATGCGGCAATACCCCAGAAAGAGAACGAAAAACAGTACATAGAAGTTCTGTCGCGTGCCAATTAGAGCAACTTACGGCCTTCCGATTCCCGTTCATTCCGGTCAACACAGCACACCTTTGCCAAGCATAAATTCGAAAACTTCGACAGCGCTAAAATTTTGGTGTCCAACTTTTATGAGTCGCACCCGAGACAGTTCTTCAAAGAAGTCATTTTTTTGCTCAGAAAACGGAGAGAATCAATTATTCGGAATCTTAGACCCAATTTAGGTCCATGCGCGTTGGTGTTGTTATTGCGGTGACGTTTGTTGGTGACCAGAAGACGACATTTCTTATCGGCCAACATAATATTGGGAAAGGACAGGTGGTGCGATGGTCAGCGACCTGTGATAAATGTAATTTTTGCAAACGGTGGAGATTATAGGGGTGTTGAACGCAAGCGCAATATTGAGTTAGCAACTTCGGATAAGGTATCGTAATGCACGAGCTACATATTACATATTCAAGACAAATACCCTCTTTCTATTTGTGCCTAGAACAGGAATTAACATTTCACTTTTTTCCGAGAAAAGATAAATTATGGTGGTGCATACGTGTAACCCCCTCCGGGTCAGTGAATCGGTACCAGACTGCCTGGGAGGATAAAAACACTGACTTGTACATCGGCTGGCCCCCGCAAGTCATTGTATAGGCCACATCGCATTCAAACGCCACTACGAATGTACAAATGGAAGTAGAATGCGTGCCGCATCCCAAAAAGGGATTGATCAACGGCAAATGCTTTATCCTTTATCCTATACCAGCTTTGCTCCGCCCGGTATCGCGCGTATCATACGACCTAAGATTCCGCAGGCACTCCAGGTATATTTATCACACATAGCTCTGTAAACACTCGGCCATTCTCCTGAATTTTGATAATTTAGCGGTGAATAGGGTTATGGTGTTAGCCTCACAATTAAATTGCAACATTATCATAAGTGAGCATCTAATGCTGATCCTTCATTCACAGTGTTCGCAAATCCTAAGCTTTGGCGGTCATTAAATGAGTTCTGGTCTTCTTGGTATTAGATCAAGAATGGAATGTACCATTCGCCAAGAGTCTGCTCAAGCCAAGCTGATTATATCGATAGAATGTCCACGACCCACCCCTAATAACACTTATGAAAAGAGCCCCATAGTGCCAACGTGAACTGCGCAATGGAATTGCCGACTTCTGCCTTCTAAGACTCCTTATCAGCCCCTATCAGTTGCTATCATTTTTGTCGCCCACCTACAATGTCCAGGTACCACCCCATATAACACTTGTAATTATGAACGCTCAAGTGTCAATGTCAGCTGCTCAAACGAATGGGGGCACGTGAGTTCAAGGCGCCCTGATAGCCCTTATTAGTTTCTATCATCCTATTTTACCTACGGTGTCCTGGTACAACTTGTAAGTATGAACACTCTAGTGTCAACGCGAAGGCTTGAGTCAAATTTAATGAAAAGAAAAAATCGAGAAGGATTGGGAGAAAATTAAAACGAAAGTAAAAGGAAACAAAGGAAAGTAACTGACGAATACACAGGCGCGGGAAGCAGTAAATGCCTAAAACCTCGCTCGAATTTGTCGCGCGGTTTCCCGCACGCGGCAAGCCGCGTGTACGACGTCGCGGTGACTGCCCACAGGCCTAATCCTTAGCTCTTGCTTTACAGCCAAACCCCGAAATGAATTCGATCCTACTGAATGGTTGTTCTTATACTGGTAGGAAAGTGGTATCACAATCACGATATCTTTCGCCTCTAGTCGACCATTTTGCGGACGGACAGACAGACGTGCAAACACACACGCAAAGCAAACCGACACACAAAACTTCTGGTTTATATAATGTCAGATGCATAGGAATCAGAGCTTTACCAGTGCTGGTTCCATGTATCTGACAAGGTAAAGCCTCTGATTCCCCAGGTTCGCCGGCACTATATTAAGCAGAGTTCACAGTCTGTGAGTCTGAAATCGTATAACTTCGTATAATGTATGCTCGCCACATTTGCACATCTCACACCACTTCAAAGTGAACTCCCTCTAAATATGCCTTTACAAGAAGTGCTGGCTAACCAGAGGGCTCTCTTATTACAGGTGCTTCATTATGACGTGACAAAGCAACAGGTTTCACCACGGCATTGCCATATATTCTATCCGCAGCGGTAAAGTTTATCGTGGGACCGATATCTGACCGAGCAACTTGTATTTCTGACAGATGGCGACTTGTGTTCTTCGCTGCCGCCTCACAAGGACTAATGGCGTTGTCATTCCTTGCGCTTGTATTCGTAAGTGCTTCCCATTCGAACTTTCGAAGTATTTCTTATTTCATTGGAATTCTCTCGAAAGTCAATAGTGACAATTACAACACTGCTATGTGATCATTTCATATCCTTTCAAGCCATCCACCATGTACAGGTTGGGTCAAAACTATGGCAATCGCGACCATGGTTCTGCTGCGCGAACTCGAATCCGCCTTTTCCCCGATCTCATTTTCTTCTTCTTAACTGTGCATAATGTAATGGGGTTCAGGGTTTCCGTTCTAGAAACCAAGTATAATGCATGACTCAAAGCTGGTAAGACCAACGACGTCGTGATGTGGTGAATGAGCGACAACCTGATGGATTGAGATCTGATGAACAAGGTGGCTATTTCTCAGTTTTAGCAAAGTCAGGCGCTGGAGCTAGCACCACACCTGAATGATTTTAGTTCTACCGGTTGAAGCGCTGCCCTGCTTCAGGAAGACCCCTGTTGCTAAGTGGTACTCGGGCAACACCTTCATCTAATTGCATCCTCAGCATCAGCTGTCGGGTTTCTTTTGAATCTCTCAAAGAGGACCGACTCAAGACGACAGTCTCTCGGTCGAATGAACTCGTGGTGCCACATTCAAGGCCAGCGGACGTTGAACAGCGAATCAAACGTTGCCAGCGAATCGAACTTTGCACCAGCGAGTCGAACGATGTACCAGCGACTCAATAGTGGCGGGACCCAACGTTCAAAGGAAGCCCGCCACTTTCAAACAGTGTCACGTGACAGTGGACCCTTTTGAAAGTGGCGGGACTTGACAGTGGACACTGTTTGAAAGTGGCGGGCTTCCTTTGAACGTTGGGTCCCGCCACTATTGAGTCGCTGGTACCTAGTTCGACTCGCTGGTACATCGTTCGACTCGCTGGCGCAAAGTTCGATTCGCTGGTGCAACGTTCGATTCGCTGGCGCAACGCTCGGATCGAGCGATTCGCTAGCGAATCGCTCGATTCGCAAACTATGACATCGGCCCATGCTGGGCCGTGTGGCTCCATGGAAAAGGTCACCACGGCGCGGACGTGTTCGCGTATCGCCCACGTCAGAGCGGTGGTGAGGGAGCAAGGGCTAGCTCTGTCACCATTACTTTTATACGTTAAGTAGTTCGAGTATCTATCGCTCTCTTACTTCGCTTCAATAAGCATAAGTAAGTAAAAATCGAACTCAAGGGAGGGACTTGGTTCAGTCAACTACAACTTGACTGTGTACTCCTGCTGGTTTGCGCATGAAAGACTCGATTTCCTCCTACATTTTTCGAGGAATTCCTGTTCCTGGTGCAGGTGACGATGCTTCTACATAACACAATCAGCGGCTCGACAGATTGGAAAAGTGTTATTTTGACGTTAGCAGGCACGGCGCTCGCCGTCCGGTGCAGCGCTGAAGCTTTTCTCCCCCCTGAGCGAGCTATGGTGATCTGCAAACATCTCTGTTTGCTTTAGCACTGTCAATACTTAAAGCCGAATTCAAAATCGTTGGCTACTGCAAATGCTCTCGACTGCGAAAATTTTTTCTAAAGAAAGGATGGAGGGGTGCGAACTGAATCATGTCAGCATCTTTCTGCCTCTTCCATAGTGGGCGGCTTGTGGGATCGGAGATGAGACGACATTTCTGCAAATGGTGAAGTATCTATCTGTGCAGAATTTCACTGACTATCTGCCCCATCGTTGCGACAACTGTCGAGCTTTTTTGTCAACCCTTCAGCGTAGTGTAGTGTTATGGTCGATTGGAGAGCCGGACGTTTCACTCCCTTCCCGTAGCTGACTATTCTTCCGTTTCCCTGCATGGATGGACACTGTTTTTTGTATCTTCCATGAATTTCCGCACACTCCTAAGTACATACCTACTGCTAATAGGAAGTACAGGGTGGGCCAGATATGAGGACCGCGTGCGTGCTCGGTCATATCCATTTTTTCCGAGTCGCTCCATTTTCATCTTCTTTTCTGTGCACTATGTGAGAGGGTGAAATGCTACTTCCTAACGAAACAACATGCAGTTCTCAAAACTAGTGTAGTAACAACATCCCCTTACGTCAGTCCTCAAATTGAACTCACTCTGGCACGTTACATCTAGCGTATCAAGGGAGCTCTTATGAGCAACAGTTCAACTCTTCAATAAGTTTGGAACCACCACAGATGGAAAATTCGGGGACTCGAAAGTTACAGTTACCACCAGGATAATTATCAGATGCAGAAACTAGGTCTCCCCTTGTCGACTTTCGTACTCCCAAAATGAAAAAATTGATGTGAAAAATAACGGACACTCTAAAGACTCCAGATCTATCTACTATAGCGGATAGAGTTTACTCAGGTAGTCTATTTGGGACTCGTTACAGGACCGAGCACCCAAGAATAAAGCAAAAATTCTCTAAAAAGCGATTTTTCGAGTTCGTTGCTTTCGAAGAATTGTTACAATGGAACCTTCCACCTAATAGCTCTAGATTTCTGTATTTCACACCCTGGATGCAAGCGCAAATAAATGCCCACAAAACTTTGATTCCCTGAAGAAGGCAGAGCAGAAGGCCTGGAAACATTTTGACACGCCTCAGTTGCGTGCCACCGCACGCGCCATCCCCTTCATCTGAAGGCTCGTGTTAACGGGGCAGGTGGCAGATCTCAATTCTATTCTGGAATTACTTTGAGATAAGAGTTACAAACACTTCCCTGAAGTTTGTTTGTTCCATCAAGCTACTATGCGTTTTTAAAGACCCAATGTCCTCAGAATTTTGGCCCACCCTGTACACACCTACAGCCAATGCAACAAAAATGATCGAAAAGTTTTTGCCTGATGAAATTTCTTATTTCGGCATTAAGTTTGGCGCACCCTGTACGCGGCCGTGGATTTCACGACGTTCTTGTGGACGCACTACGCGGTTTTTGATGCAAGCATTTGTAATGTCCGAAGGTCGGACTATTAGCGAATTTTCAACCATTTTTAAGGTCTAGCCTATTTCTCAATCTTGATAGAAAAGGGGAACGTTAGTATAAAGTGTCGTCTGTGAATAGCCTTGGGAATAACCTGTCGTCTAAGGCTGACCTTGTGGTAAAATCGAATTCTGGACGTTGAAAAATAAACACGATAGCAAAGCGGAACCCAAATACTGAAGGAACGGAAGAAGAACATTAAAAGAAAGGAGTAGTGCTGTGGCTGACACACAGCGTAGTTCAGGTAGTTTTAAAGGCACAACCCAGGCAGAGTCGTGTGAACGCTTCTCTTCGGTCTCGTAGTATAGACCCCTAGAGGACAATCACAAATGTGGCGTTCTCGTGCACGGAAACCGACCGATAAGAGCGCTTAGGCCTTGCAAAGTAAGCTGCCCAAGCTGCAGACTTTTTTTTTGCCTGTCAAGCTGTTGTCTGCGATCTCTCATCTGTAGCGCTCTCTCGTCCCATACTCTCCTCTCCGTGCCTAGTCTCTCATTCCCTTAGCACAGCCGATTAGGAATGTGAGTGAGCCCTTAACCTAAGCGTTTTTGACGGATTCTTTTCCTTTTTCCTTTACTGCCGCCCCCACTTTCCACCACTACATTCGCATTTGCCAGAGCCATCAATGTGTTCCTGAGTTGCTCTAAAGAAAACCCAAATTTGGGTGGAACTCCTTACTTGTAATGAACCATTCATTCATTCAATATTCATTCAATTCACTCATATCTATTATGCATTTATTATTATTTATGTATTTATTTATTAATGCAGGCGTAGATGAGCAATACTAAAACTTGAAGTGGCACAAATTTCCTTCCATTCAGGTGACACTTAATGCGGTAAATGAAGGCTCACTGTTCCCCAGGATATACACTGCGACGCATAATTATAGTTCCACCTACAATTTCAGTACCCGGCTGGATATCATTTTCTCACGATACGGCGCTTATCTCAGTCGGATAGTAATCAGGGTTCCTCCCAGTCATATCCTGTAGCATCCTTGAGAAATTTGTTCGTTATGAAGTCACCCCGACAAATTCCAGCGGAGCTGACACTTTGACAATTCCTGCGTCTCTTTTGCTAGGATTTCCCTTTTACGGAAGTGTGACAGCGGTTTTGCCTTTGCTATAAGCTAAGGAACTTGAATGGATAATAATTCCAAATTTTGATTGGGTAAAAGCAAAATGCAGCGGAGAAGCTAAAGCGGATATTTTCGAAAAAATAAGGATAAAAAATTGTTGCTTTCTCAAACTGGATTTCCGTGTTAATATTCAGATTCGCGTTTATATGTGTCACAATTTATCTGTAGAGCCTTTTTCAAAAACATCCCCAGATTCAAGTTTTTGGGAAATTTGTAGGTGGAACTATAATTATGCGTCGCAGTGTAGATACTCTTGTTTTTGGCTTCACTTCGCAGTCAGTTTATAAGGGCTAAGAGTAGCTCTGCTGTGATGATCCGATTGCTCGTTAGCCAAGAACCTCCTCGAGTGGCGATCCATTCTAGACCCTCCTGAACTTGGAAACTATATAAAGGAAAGTTCTGTAGTGCCACAAATAGACGACATCTGAGCCACCAGCTCCTACGGTTACCCACACTTGAATCATTTTGGTGATTAGAACATGCCGGCCAGATACATATTCACGACTGATTGTAATTTAATCCAGGCTTCAATGATAAGCTGGATGTAGAGAACGATTATCATACTTGTTTATGTTAGTTCAAAAGGCAGGTTTGGCTGAAACTTGTCGTAGAGTATATATATTATTAATTCCCTCAGCATGAACATAACAGTTGTTTCCCGCGAAAGCGCCTGCAGTGTATCGCATTGGAAGTTCTCCAGGTACAAGGACGAAAAAAAAGAAGAGAGAGCAGTTCGCCAGCGAGTTGATCCAGCGACCTTTTGCCTATGGATGGGATCATTGTTGCTCTCTTTCTCGCTTCATTGCTCAACGAAATGTAGCGTTTCTCAAACAGCTTAAGCCAGTTTTGAGCTCAGCCCTCGCATTAAAATGCCCGTATTTTGTTGTCGTTTTGACGGTTTTCAACCGGGCGGCTTCACTCCTAACTATTCCTTCTGGGGATCACCCAAGTGTTCGACCGCCAACGGAATTGAGGTTATCCATTGGCTTTATTTTGAACTATAGACAGCAGTGGCTAT